CTATCAAAATTATTGATTATAAATGTTTTGCTGCTTGTGCTAAACATTCTTATTCTGTTCATAGATTTAATTTCATTGGGTATTTCATTATAAAATTTAGGTGCTAATCTATATACAGGGTGGCCAATTGAAAACGAAACAGAGGTGATTTTGGGCTCCCCAAGACATTTAAGAAAAAACCCTCTTACCCGTCGATTTTTGATTTAAGGGGGAACCATTTTTTTAGCATTTTTACTACCTGGGGGGCAAAGCTCTAGCGGGGGTGACAAGGGCCCCCAAAATTTTAAATGGAATGAGGGGTCGAGGGATACCTTATTTTGAAGCTATTTTTATGTAGATTATAACCCCCAAGTTTTACATCGCTACTATCTACCTAGCCATTATAGGGGCTAATTAAAGCTACAAAAACATGTTGGGGTATTTTGTATTTAAAAAAATGCTCCAAAAACAAAATCAATCAAATAAATGCTGAAAATGACCACAGAAGCAAAAATCTAACGGGCTTGAATCTGGAGAACGGGGGGAGTCACTCAATAGCTCCTCTCCTTCGAATCCATTGTCCTGGAAACGTTTGGTCCAAATATTGACGAACCACTGCAACATAGTGGGATGGCGCACCATCTTGTTGGAATATTAAACGGTTTTCCATGTATCTGTTATCATTCTCTAGTATCTCCACCAATTCTGGATGAATCGCATCTTCTAATCACTCTAGGTACATTTCTCCTGTCAAATTTATAGGTAAAGAAGGGGCCACGGTTACCAAAAATGCTAGTCCAAACACTCAATTTTTTGGGAGTTGCGTATGCACCTCAAAAAATATGTTTTCTGGGATTTGAATTAGCCAAATAGCGGCAGTTGTGACGATTCACCGTACCGTTTAAGAAAAAAGAGCATTCGTCAGAGAAATATGCATTGAAATTGAACTGCTGCTCCATTTATTGGAAAAAAAAATGTCGGTTATGAGTTTTTCAATGGTGAGAGAGGAGGAAATAAAACGAAAAAACGGGTTAGTAGCACATCAACTAAAATGCCATTCAATTATACTCCATTATTTATTACAATTATGGCCGGTTTGTACAGCATTTGCATAGTCATAATCATAATCATAGTCTTAGTCATGAGAGTTAAAATAATATTTTCTTATGGAACCGTTTATACACAAATCATAATCATAAGCATAAGTATAACTCAAAGTTGGCAACTTTCCACCAAGCTTCCACATGTCTTTGAATAATGTGGCAAAATACCCTTCCTTCTGCATTTCTTTATTGATGGGCATCACTTTCCACCTTCTTTGTCTATGGTTTGCATTTGTTGAAGTTGTTTATTAAATGCCACAGCCATAAGTGAAGCAAAGCTCAAAAATAAATAGGACAGACCTATTACGTATAATTTCTTTCGCAGAATTTTAATTTTCACACTTTTTGAAACTTCGAAAAAGTAAATACACTTAGTTTGATTCGCAAAAAGTGAACAAACTCTCTCTACAAAAAGTTGGGTTGAGTGTTATATTTACGTAAAGTTATGATGTTGTGTAAACGCGTTCATAATTGTGCTTATGATTAAGAATGTGATTATGACTATGATTATAATTATGACAATGCAAATGTTGTATAAACCCGCCATTAGATATCAAAAAATTGTGATGCCTCGTCCCTCGATAATTTAAAAGCATATGAAATTTGGTTAACTGTCAGTTAAATAAATGCTGAAATTGACCACCACCCACTTCCATACAGAAATAAAGATTCTGTTCAAAACGCTCCTGCGCATTTCGAAGCATTTGTGGACTGATTTGACGACACTCATTGATTATCCGATCTCGTAAATTTTCGTGGAGAGGAGCTATTGTGTGGTCCCCACGTTCTCCAGATTTAGGCCCGTTAGATTTTTTCTTCTGTGGTCATTTTCAGCATTTACTTGATTGATTTTGTTTTCAAAGCATTTTTTTAAATACAAAATATCCCAACATGTTTTTGTAGCTTCAATTAGCCCCTGTAATGGCTAGGTAGATAGTAGCGATGTAAGACTCGGGGGTTATAATCTACATAAAAATAGCTTCAAAATAAGGTATCACTCGACCCTTCATTGCATTTGAAATTTTTGGGGCCCTTGTCACTCCCGCTAGGGCTTTGCCCCCCAGGGGGTGAAAATGGCAAAAAAATGGTTCCCCCTTAAATCAAAAATCGACGGGTACGAGGGTTTTTTCCTAAATCTCTTGGGGAGCCTAAAATCACCTCTGTTTCGTTTTCAATTGGCCACCCTGTATATAAAAATGAATGCCACTTTTCGTTGTAATTTTATAACTCAAGAACGGACTCACCTAGCCAAACCAAATGTTTAGGCTTTGTTCGGACTATTTATTAGATGGTTTATGTGGAGTTTGCACAAAATCGGTCGAGCGGTTCTTCATTTATCACATTTTTTGTAATCATCGGCATCATTTTGCTGTCAAATTCAAACTTTTTTCAGCGTTGACAGTACCAGCATGTTGTTATGTCATTAATGTGGTCATTTCATTACTTATTTTATTTATTTATGAAAAAAATTTACTAAGCCCACATACGGCGCCATGTCTTATAACCGATACCAAGTTTATTTTGTATTTTGTATACCGCGCCATCTCTGATACCTGGAACGAAGCTCGGCATTGCAGATACAGTAGAACAATGCTGCACAGAATTATTCCACTATTCCGATCAGATAGAGTGGTGCAGAAAGAGTAGGTCAGATAGAGTAGTGCAGATAGAGTAGAACAGATGGAGTAGTGCAGTGCATGCAGTGCAGATAGAGTGAAATAGGGCGCTAGAGTTTTTTTTTGTTTTCTTTACATTCTTTGAACATTCCTGTGCTTGAGTTTATTTATTTGGTGGTACACTTTACAAGAATAATGCCCACAAGCTGCCTAAAAAAGGAAGATGTAAAATTTTAATTTTAGGTGCCTTCTGATCCAGAGAGTAAACATTAATTTTCTTCAACCAAAGCCAAATTTACCATCGAAAAAAACTGAATTTAATTCAGCTAATAGATACGTTAACACAACATTTAATAGGTATATTTAATAATTCAGAGGCGGTACGAAGTTCGCCGGGTCAGCTAGTTAATCTATAAATTTCAAAAACATGGTTTTCCTACAGTTTGATATAACTAAATGCTTGTTTACATTTGCTCTGGTTAATTGATGATGGTTTACGAACTTTTTCAATTTTCCATTTCTGTGAAAGTACAAGCACGTACTGTGTACATACAGACATTCAATGTTGCAAATTTCAGCGTTATATAGTAGTTTTGTTGAGTATAACCTGTTTCTCTTAAACATTATTTTTACAATAGAGTTCTGAACGGTTGCCAAAGGTTTCAGATTTGTTTTGTAGGAGCCGCCCCAGATAGGTAATCCATACCGGATCAAGGACTCCACCAGAGATTTATAAACCAATGTAAGGAGTTTGGTACAGAGAAATACTCTCAGCAAATAAAATTTTGAAATTAAAAAGCGTATTTTGTTTGTTAGATGAGATATTTGATCCGTCCATTTCAAATGTTGATCTATGATCACTCCCAAATATTTAGTTTTTGATACTCCTACGATTGCATCATTTCTCTCCTTATCCGTTATAATTGTGTCAAAGTCAGGTCTATTGGCACTTGTTAACGAGAATGCCATAAAATTGGTTTTTGAAAGATTCAGTGATAGCTTGTAAGAGTTCAACCAGCATTTAACAATATTAAATCCCTCAACAACCTTTTCTTTTGTATTCCTCCATGTACTTCCAGTAAAAACAAGGACTGTATCGTCCGCATAGGATATAATTTTACCATCTATATCCAGATTCAGCAATGCGTTTATGTAAGTGATGAAAAGTATGGGACCTAAGACGGTACCCTGCGGGACACCTATCTGAATTTTTTGTGGCTGGCTAAGTGCTCCATTTAACCTTAGATATTGATCTCTGTCATAAAGATAGTTCCTAAAAAGGTCCAACACTGCACCCCGGACTCCATAATGTGATAATACATCAAGAAGCCTTTGGTGAGGAACGGTATCAAATGCCTTAGCGAGATCAATAAAGACTGCTATAGTTTTTTTATCCTTATTCATATTGTTAGCAATATCCGAGGCTAGGGAACACATGGCGTCCACGGTGCTCAAGCCTTCTGTAAAGCCAAACTGGTTTTCCGAAAGTACATTGTAATCCTTTAAGAAACCCACCAATCTATTTTTCAGATATTTTTCAAAAATTTTCGAGAAATTATTTATTAAGCTTATAGGGCGGTAATTCTGAATTTTATCTTTTTCACCACTTTTATATATTGGAGTGACAATAGATTCCTTAAAGTGGGTCGGTATTTTACTTGTGTCAAAGATTCTATTCATAATGTAGGTCAGGGGCTTGATCACATCTAAATGAACGAATTTAATTAATTTCGCACAAATGCCATCCTTACCAGGGGCGCTGTTATTTTTTAGAGAGGATATGTGTATAATAAGCTCATTTTCTGTAACCGGGCTTAAATAAAGTGATGATAAGTTTTCTTTAATTTCTAAATAATTTAAATAAATTATTTTGGTAGTAAGGAATGTACATACTTTTTATCTAAATAAAAATGAGAAAAATGCCTGTTTGAATCGGATGTGATATGGATAATCATTGAGACATCAATGGATTGAAAGAAGAAGTCCAGATTTGAGTCCTGATTATTGGCCAACTAGATGCCAAACCTATACTATTTCACTATAAGACAGTGCCTCAAATTTGTATTGCTATGAACAAAATATCACAATTATAATTTTTAAAAAAACAATATTTGTGGCTTTTACTTTGTTGAGAACGTTTCAGCATTCGATTAACAATATTAGCATTTACTGTGTGAGAACGCGTCATTATCTCTTTTACTGTGGTACATAAATCAACATAAAATTGGTTTTAGCATGTCTTAAAGTTACCATTGCTTAGAGTAGATTTCACAATCAACTAAAATTCTCTTTCACTTTAAAGGTTATACCTTATTTTTGAATTCCTCTGCATGGACCTGAAAAAATACCTTGACAACATCGATCCTGGTAAATACATGGACCCAAAGCTAGTAAAAAGCTACTTATACCAAATTAACGAGGCGATTCTATTTTGCCATCAACGTAGGGTCATACATAGGGATTTGAAACCGCAGAATTTGTTAATTAGCAAGGACGGATTAATCAAGGTGAAAGTTGATTTGATTTTTTTGTTAAATAGTTTCTAGAACCTATTATTTTAGGTGGCCGATTTTGGATTAGGAAGAACGTTTGGAATCCCTGTTAGAATTTACACTCATGAAGTTGTTACTTTATGGTACAGAGCCCCTGAAGTACTTTTGGGAGCTCCTAGATATTCTTGCCCAGTTGATATTTGGTCGATTGGTTGTATTTTCGCGGAGATGGCCATGAAAAAGCCTTTGTTCCAAGGCGATTCTGAAATTGATCAACTTTTCAGGATCTTCCAGTAAGAATCTATTTACGTTTTAATTGATAGTTATTGAACACAATATTGTTGTTTTTGCAGGATCCTGCGTACTCCAACAGAAGAAATTTGGAAAGGTGTTTCTTCATTGCCAGAATACCACGCAATTTTTCCCAATTGGACCAATTTTAACCTGGAAAAGTCAGTAAAGAATCTGGATGATGACGGTGTTGATTTGCTGGCGAAAATGCTCGTCTACGAACCAGGCCAAAGGATTTCAGCCAAATCCATTGCAGTGCATCCATATTTTAAAAATTTAGATCTGAAAGTCAAACCTGTTATCATTGTGAAAGATAAATGAATTTTGTAGCTTAGGCTTGTTTTATATTTTTTTCCATCTTTGATTTGGTTATTATTATTTATATAATATTATTTTGCTATATCTTTTCATATTGAAATGACACCCTTTGAATTTTGTGTTAAGATTTATCATTTTCGTTAATTCTGCCTAGTTTATGAAAAACTTACAACTTTTAGCTCAAAATGTGAAAGTAGAAAGTTATAAAACAATTGTTATAATTTTAATTACTTGTTTCAAAGGAGTTTGATTGTTCACTGTCATGTTTTTTAAAGACTTTTATTTCTCTAATAATATATTTTGGATCTGAACCATCCTGCCATTATTATTTGTTCAAAAAAATGACAGAATAATCTGGACGATGGCTCAGTTGATTCACTAGCAAAACTGCTCGTTCTACAAACCAAGGCATAGGATTTCAGCCAAACCCATTGTAGGAAATTCATGTTTTAAAAATTTAGATCCAAAAGTCGAACTTTTCATTGTTGTAAAAGATAAACGAATTTTGTAGCTTATAGGCGTGTTTTTCATTTTTTCCATTTGATTTGTTTATTATTATTTATGTATTGCTATATTGCTATATTTTTTTATATTCAAATGTGAACTTTTGACTTTTGTGCTAAGATTTATCATTTTGGTTAAAAAACTAACAACTTTTAGCTCAAAATGAGAAGGTGCAAAGTTAATGAAACAATTTTTTTTTCAGCTATTTGCATACACAATCTTTGATTGTTCACTGTCACCTTTTATAAAGTTTAGATCTCTTTAATTATTATAGGTACCTACATTTTGAATCTGAACTATCTGCCATTATTTTTCTTTCGAAAAACTGTCAGAAGTATTTTTATGTTGTGCCATAATGGCCATATGTTTGTGTAAGTACATATTAACTTTTAGATAGGATTCAGATGATTTGTATTTTTCTATTACATAATATATTATAAATGACTCAATTTTTGTTTTCATGGTATTTTTTGGGGCTTTTTTATCTACCCATTTTCTCTGAAATTATTGCATAACTCGTGTCAAATTTAAACAAATAACCCGAAAGGGAAAAGCAAAGTTCAGGTAGAGTTTAAATTCCAACTACTTTTATTGGGGTACACGTAATTTGGTTCCCAAGATAATGAGGGTTAGAAAAAAATATGTAAGTTGGTTCCCGCAACAAACGTGGATTACCACAGGCAATAAACAGACTAAGCAGTATTTACAATATTAATTTATTATAACCTATTTTAAACTAATACATTTTTATCCAACAAACCAATATCTAATAAACATTCTTTGGGTACTATTCAGTCTATGTATCAGTGAAAGCACAATGTAACGAAACACATTTGATAAAATGTAATCGACTAATTTCATTTTTAGAATAAGATTCTATCATTTTTGCCAAAAACATTTTGCGGTTTTTGATTTTAGTGTTATGTATTTTAGCTGATATATGTATACTTTGTAATTAAACGTACGATTTGTATGAAATTCCTTGAGTTTTCCGAAAAATATTAAGATATTGGGGTGAGCTTTATAAAAGGATGAATTAAAGTGTTTATGAAAAGATTCACAGGCGTTGGTAGTGCGTGTAAGGACAGGTGAATTGTGAGCCCAAAGCAAAGGTGGAAAAAGAGAGTGTTCTGATACTAGTTATCTAAAGTTAGGACGAATTATTTGTACTTTCAATTTGTGCAAGTTCACCGCTTCTCATCACTTCTCAAAAGCTTTTGAAAACCATACTTATAGTTATTGTTATCAATAACCAATAACTGCTCTCCACGTATGCTTGGAATTATTTCGGGATTCATAATAGAAAATATTATTAGCAATTCACGAACTTCAAACATAACCGGTAGCAACACATACATTAAAACTGCAACAAGATTTTTAATCTATTACCTTAACGGCACAACCCACCCCCAGAGGAATAACAAAATCCTTTGTCAAAACGCAAATATCTTTTAAAATGACTTCCAAACTTGCATTGTGCTTAACAATGGTAAGTATGTCCTAATTTTCCTTCTCGTGAACTTTTAGGAATTTTAAAGATCCACAACTGTACTATCACCTATTTATTATAAGCACTTGATGCTGTTTATCGATTTCTGCAGGTGTTGTGGATGCATTTTGTTGGAGACAGATTGCCAGCAGTATGTTGAAAATTGTCAAAGTTTAACATTTTCAATTCTTTGACTTCTGCCATGTATAAGTCGCACTTTCCACTTCGAGAACCTCGACCGATGATGTCCTAAGTTCACTAGTGGCTCCCTTCATTTCTTTAAGCATTTCCTGATCTGTTCTTTGTTGGTTTTCGCAATCTGATGAAAGCTTTCTTTCAAAGATGGCATTAGCATTTTTCAGGTGTTTTATTTCCTCTTCCATTTGAAGGACCATTCCAATGGTTGAAGCTACAATAAGTAGAACTTTTTGGAGTTTTTATTCCCAATGTCTGTTTGTGTAATATCATCAATCAAGCATCCTTCTGTTGTACTGATTTTGATTTGGGTTTCTGGTTTGGTTTTTAAAACCGTTTTTCTCTCGTCGCCGTTACTTTTTTTTTTAGTGCTTATGATGATAAGTTTTTATTTTTACTGATGCTGTTTTGATGGATTCAGAATTCTATTGCTTTACATATTGTGGGTTATTAAATTGTTATCTCGCTGAGCCGTTCCGCTCGCTACTCAGCCTTGGCGCGCCAGGTCGGTCCGATGCACGCCCACTCAGTCGAGTCAACCTAACATTGATCAGTAAACAGACTACTTTGGGCCGTCGCCTTGCTATTTTGAGCCTGAGCTGATCATTCTGGCCCGCAATAACTCCTTGATTTGGATTGTGAGGATCCTGAGGATGATATTATCCTCTCTAGAAAAAAAATTCTAGTTACTAATCATCTACCTAGAGATTGGAAAAAGTCGAAAGTTATTAGAGATTCCAAAGGAACGGAATGAATGGACCCCAGAGTCCTGAATAAAATACGGTTTGCACTTCAACAGTCGGCTTAGCGAGAGCTTTTGCACCAAACTGTACTTTATACACAAATGAAATCTAAATTGTCAGATTGGCCTTTTTGTACGGCTCTAATTATTGGTCCGGCTTCTCTTGCGGCAAGAGTAAGAGGTTTAGCACACTGAAGAGCTCAACAAAAATTAATACTTGCTGCATTATCCGATATGAAGCCCCTTCTACTCTCGAGAAATGATGCTTCTGATGAGATTTCTAAGGAATATGAAGAAATGAATTTGGATGATGGTCGCACAATACACATATTTCTTCTGCGTTTTCTAAATCGGGTCGAAAATCCAGACTAGTTACCAGACTGGGTGTTTTTCTTTGAAATTAAATTTCCACTCCACTTTGAGTCATGGACTACTTTTTCAATCCAGACTAGATAGATTGGAACAAGGCTAGTTAGAACTTAAGAATATGTTTGAAGCTTTCGTTGGTGATTATGGTTCTGCCCCAGCCAAACCTGTATGCTTACTCCTCAGATGACTCTTCTGATGACCACAAGGACCTATCCCACACTCCTAGACATCCTTCACCTCGTTTGGATGACACGAGCTGGCGGCTCCACTCTCAGCTCCACTATTCCCAACTGATGAAGTTTTTGACTTTCATCCTAAAACTAAGGAACAAGAGCCAACCATGCCAGCCCCTAAGCCTGCTATTGCTAAACAAGGCACAGAGTGTCAACGACCTGGAGAACTTTCGTTCAAGTTTATCCGTTATATGCAGAGGCACAAAAAAGGCTGAATGCGTTTTCCCGTTTTTTAACACTCTTAAAGTCAATCAGAAACTGTCACATCGCACTCCAAATTCTGAGTTAGCGATCGTATGGATACAACTCTGGGTACTTTGGGCCATGGACTTTTCCTACAAAGGAAGGCTTTTGCATCTGCGATTCAAGACTTAACAGAGAAACATCCAGATATCAAAGCTAGCATCATCGGCGCTTTCTCGCAGGATTCTTCCTTTCGCTCTATTTCTGACGACGTTCTTCAGTATGTTTGCGGCGGCCGAGCTGAAGTAATAGAACAGAGACGCAATCTCTTCCTCCCTAAAGACCCCATATGCGACTGATACGAGCTAGTATGATGGATGCTATTTCTCCCTTCAACTACACATCTTTTCTGCGAAAAAAATATTTCGGATTTGATGAAACAGCTACCAGGCCCTTCAACCTTTTTTTGGCCCTCTGTAAGTGACTATCGTTCAAACTCCAGACGTTTTTTCAAGCCGCAGCGCAAAACCTCGCAAACGCAGAAAAGATCAGCTAGATTCAAAAAGTCTGCACAAAGTATCTGAAACTCGACGATACCAATCGGAGGATGTTCGCCGCTGAAAACGAACGTTTTCAGCCCATACCAAATCAGGTGTACTGTCCAAGGAAGTTAAGTCCTACCTAGGACGGAGCATTTAAAAGGGGGACGACTGTTAGAGTTTCTGCAAATTTGGGATCAAAAAAGCGCGCCATCAGGAATCCTTCAGATAATTGGAGGTTATACCATACCTTTTGTTTCCGCAAACCCCCTCTGGTTCGCTTTTCCCTTTTATCCAAACCAAATTTCGAAACAAGGGGTATGGAGTCAGAAATAAACTCACTTCGAGAACAGGGCATCTTAGAAATTTCAACTTCGACCACAGGATTTCTCTAAAGAATGTTCCCGGCTCCAAAACCAGATGTCTCTCTACGCCCCATCATCAATCTTCGAGGATTGAACCGTTACCTAACCCCCAGGAAGTTTCGACCTATAAATCATACAAAAGTTCTCGACTTGCTCCTTCTGAAGTTAGATATATCCCAAACCTATTTCCACTTACCTGTAAAATCGCAACACCGAAGATTTTTATCAATGGCCCACCTAGGCAAAATACTACAATTCACCTGTCTCCCGTTTGGCCTATCGACAGCTTCATCAACGATTTCCAGGATAACGAATTAGCTGGCTTCTCAGCTAAGGAATAGCGGGGCAAGAGTTATAGTGTACTTAGACAATTTCCTGTTTGCAGGACGAGATCGGATTCAACTGAAGGCTATATGGCACAAAGCTGTGCATTTCCTGAGAGAGTTAGGATTGATTTTAGATCTAGAAAAGTCTTCAAGCGAACGCGTTACCCTCCTCAAATTTCTCGGTATCGTCTGGGACATACCATCATCAACACAAAATCTCTACCACCACAGAAGATCACATCTATAAAGAAGGACTTGAAAATAATTTTAAAACACAACTCCTGGAGCTGGGAGATAGCGAAACGCCTCTTGAGAAAACTGAACTATGCAGCCTTTGTGATACTTCTCGGAAGGATACACTCAAGACATCTTCAGACAGCCTCCAACTGCCCTTCCCAGTATCGAAAAAAAGGCCATGTTGACTCCAAACGCTCAAAAGGAATGCAAGTGGTGGCTACAAAGCCTCAGAAACTCTTCTCCAATTTTCGCATGTCGAGAGACGGCCTTCCTTTCTACCGATGCTTCAAACCTAGGCTGGGGTGCTCAACCAAATGACAAACACATGGAGGAGTTATGGGATCCGAGACAAAAAACATGGCATATCAATCAAAAGAAACTCTTTGCATTCATTCACGCGGTAGAGGAAACAAGACAGTTATGGCCTATATCAAAAATCAGGCGGGGACGAGATCTGCCAGGTTAACTCAAATGGTATTTCAGCTTCTAAGACTGACAAAGTCGTTGAATGCGGAAGTGGTCCCTCATTTTTTACCTGGTATTCACAACACGGTGCCGGACAGTCTATCTCGCCGAAATCACCTAGCAGATTGACATCTCTCAACCACGATAACATATAGATAATATCACTCATCTTTCAAAAGTGGGGAATTCCAGAAGTCGACTTATTCGCAAAAAAAAACATATCACGAGTAGTCCCAGCATACGAAGGTAACCCGCGATCTGAAAGACACAAAGGCTTTGTTCCTCGATGCCTTCACCAGAAAATGGAACTTCAAACTGGCATGGGTTTTTCCTCCTCCTTCTCTGATCCCCAGAGTGCCCCACCTGAGCAAGGCGAAAGGAATATATATTCTGATAGCGCCACGCTGGGAAAAAGTTTTCTGGAGAGCAGATCTCAAAGCAAGAGCGATAGAACATACATTCGAGAGCCGGAACCTACAACACCACCTAACGGATGTAACATCGGGGCTGACACTTTCCAAAGCAAAACACCTT